TACAGCCATTTTGGAGATCAGTATGGCGGTTCCTCAGGTAAATGGGAATTAGTTTACCACAGGACCCAGCAATCCCCCTCTTAGGCATATACCCAAAGGATTCACATCCATGCAACAAAGACATCTGTTCAACTGTGTTCATAGCAGCACTATTTGTAATAGCAAGAACCTGGAAGCAACCTAGATGCCCCTCAATTGAAGAATGGATAGTGAAGATGTGGCACATCTACACAATGGAATACTACTCTGCAGAAAAAATAATGGTATCTTGAAATTCGCAGGCAAGTGGATGGCACTTGAAGAAACCATCCTGAATGAGGTAACCCAGTCACAAAAAGAGGAACATAGTATGTACGCACTCATATATGGATTTTAGACCTAGAGCAAAGGATCACCAGCCTGTAATTCATACCACCAGAGGAACTAGGTTACAAGGTGTATTCTAAGTGATTCATATAAAGTCCCTCACAGAACTGGTAAGGGACAGGTCCCCCAGAGCTCAGGGGAAGTGGGGGGGGCAGTGAATGGAGAGAGAAGTAGGAGAAAGCGAGGGGGAGGAAAGGAAAACACGTGCGACTAGGAAGATTGAGCCTGGTTAGGAATAGAAGACGAGAGAGAGAGAGAGAGAGAGAGAGAGAGAGAGAGAGAGAGAGAGAGAGAGAGAGAGAGAGAGAGAGAGAGAGAGGGAAAGAGGGAGGGAGGGAGGGAGGGAGAGGGAGAGAACATAAAAGAGGGAGCCAATATTGGTTTGAAGATAAAATTGAACACAAAGAAAGTTCTAGAGAACTACAAGACTTCTGCCAACTAACAATTTGAGCATCCGTGGAAAGGCTACCATAAATGCCCTTCCCGGACAGTGAGATCAACAACTAACTTATCCATGGAGCCCTCATCTAATACCTGTTGGAAACCGGAGCAAACACCCATGCATAACACCGAGTCGAACTAGAACCCAGATGCAGATGGAGAGGACAAGACCAGGCGGCAGAAACTCATAGAGACAGCTGACCTGAACAAGGAGGAGCTAATGGGCCACCAGACTGATAGCTGGGAAGCCAGCATGGGACTGACTCAGGCCCCCCTGAATATGGGTCTCACTATGTAACTCAGGTTGGCCTGGGTCCATAATACTTGTGTTAAAATGACAGTGTGAGCCATTATGCCAAACTTTTAAAATAACTTTAAATGGGCTGGAGAAATGGCTCTATAGTTAAGCACACTTGCTTTTCTTACAGAGGACTTAAGTATGGTTCTTGGTACCAACATTTGGCAATTCAGAATCTCCTGTAACTCCAGCTCTATCAGATATGATTCCCTTTTGGCTTCAGAGGGCACCCACACATGTGGCATGCATATACATGCACATGCAAATATAAATAATAAAAAGAAAATGTAAAAAAAGTCTTAAATGTGTTCATTAATTTATTTTTGTCTATTTAATTATGTTTGTTTGTTGCTGCTGGGATTACAACAGTGTTGGCTGTCATCTACCATGCCCAGCTACACAAAAATTTTTAACAGAACTGAAGTTCACTGAAAGTCATTTTAAACATCAATTATTATTTTTTTTTCTCGAGCCAAGGCCTCATTAGGAGGCCCTGGCTATCCCAGAACTCTCATTATGTATACCAGCCTGGCCTTGAACTTCTAGAGATTTGATGCTTCTGCCTCCCAAGTGCTGGTATTAAATGTATGTACCACTACTCCTGGTTTGACATAGGTTTTTAAGTACAGAAAAAAAAGTAAAGAATAAGACATTAAGACATACCCAAGTATAGGTATGAACTTTTTAAAGGAGAGTCGTGTCTGACATGTATGGTGTGTGTGTGTGTGTGTGTGTGTGTGTGTGTGTGTGTGTGTGTGTGTGTGTGTGTGTGTAGCCCAGAAGAGGATGTGAGGTTCTCTGGAACTGGAGTGTGAGTTACCCAACATAGGTACTAAGTTATCTGCAAAAGCAGCAAGAGTTCTTCTTTGCTGAGCAGTCTCTCCAGCCCCCTAAGCAAGCTTCATAAATGTTATTGTTGTCCAGACTTTGTGTTCTTCACAATTAAATGGGGAATAATAAAACAATGTTGTAAAACTTTCATATAGGAATCATGAAGATGGAAACGTCTAGTGTAGTAGCTGTTAGGCACATATGGTTAAAAAATATTAATGGATTTACACTCACATTTAAACACATGAGACCAGTGACTACATTCCTTCCATTTTCCTTTTTTATTTATTTTAATCTTTGTAGTTTCATATTGTGTTTTTAGTGGCTGTATCTTATACAGTGCAGTTCAATAATCACAATGTTTATCTTCCTTATTAAAAAAAAAGCCAGATGTGGTAATGTACAGCTGTAATTCCAGCACTAAAGAAATGGAGACAGGAGAATCAGAGGTCTAAGGGCAGCCTCAGCTACAAAGCAATTTTGAGGCCAGCCTAGTCTACATGAAACCCTGTCTTAAGAAAACAAATAATTGTAGGAAGATCAAAAACATTAAGCATCATTAATGTAATAATAAATCTGTGTCACTTTTATTCTCCATTATCTTCTTTATACCTTTCATTAAATTAAAAATTACTGAGTCATCAAATTCATTTTCCTACGTTTTAAGATCTTATGCCTATTTTTTTTTAATGTAACAATTAGGCTAAATGGTACTCTGAGTGAAACTGAATTTAAATTTTCATCTCTGATAATTGGCATGTAGCTTATTAAGTCCTTGAGAGAGTTAATCTTGGGAAAACAGCAAACAGTAATTTGAATAGACAGCCCATGATTACTGAACAGAAAAAAAAAAGTAGAAGACAATGAGCACAGTGCTTCTGAATCTGCCACAATCTCCTACTTCCTTTATCCCTCCTTCTGCTTTACAGTCCCTTAAAATGGTCAGATTTGAAGCCAGGTGTAGAATATTTGCACTCCCAGTGATTAAAGCAGGAATATAATCAAGATTTCAAGGCTACCGGGGGACATATAAGACCAGACAAACAAATAATCCATAAAATGGTCAGATGTGAACACCTGAAACAAACACTGAACCTATGTTGAGGACAGACGATGAAGATAAGAATGATCCTGATGGGGTCTTGAGAGGTGGCTCAGGGATTAAGAGCACATGGTACTCTTGCAGAGGACCTGAGTTGGTTCCCAGCACCCTTATGGTGGTTCACAACCATCTGTGACTCTGGTTCCAGCAGATCTGAGTCCTTCTTCTGACCTCCAAAGTCACTCCCAAAATGCATGTAGCACAGACATATATGCATGCAAAACACACAAAATAAAGTGAATACATCTTTTTTAAAAAGAATGATCACAATATTAAAGGAGTGACCAGAAATGAATTTCTAACCTCTGACAACCAAAAAGTTCTTGTCTCAGAGCAGCTGGCCTTGTGTTGGGCAATTTAACTGTCAAAAACAATGAGTATTGTCTTTACAACTAAGCAGTGGAAGGATGGGCTGGCAGAAGAGGAAATATGCTCACTGATGCAACAAAGGCCATAATTTTCTGCTTGAAAAAAGGTGTTATATGCTAAGAGCCAACTTGGCATATAACTTGGAAACTGTGCCCTATTTTTCCCACCAACTTAGAAATAAGAACTTGTCTTAATATTTGATAGATTAATCAAGAGAAGTTGACCTCTGCCACTAGTGACTAAACCAAACTGTCCTAAAGACACAGCCGACAAGATTTTAGATGTTTAACTTTCAATCTTCTGCTAAAACCTAAAAGAGGAAAACTTTAGTAGGAGGAGCAATATGACTAATTTTTTCCATATTAGGCCTTAGACCACAAAGTACCAAAATTCACAGCAAGCCAGTCTGGATAGGATGTGGGCATGCTTGTAGGAAGCCACACCCAGCAACCAGAAATTTCTTATGACTCAGGCCAATTTCTTTTAATAAGAAGACACCCAGTGCTAAAGGCAAGTAAGGAAACTTACAGTTCAGATAGGGGCAGTTTAAGAACACTGGCCTTAAGCTAAACTAACACCATCATTAGCAAGCATTTTCTTTTTTACCCATCTTTTAAATTATATATGTGTGGTGTTATCGGGAAACCTAGATCTACATACAGAACAACATTCAAAAGTCTGTGGGAGGCTTTGTTTTTTTCTGAGTGGAATTTTTTTTTTTTTTTTTTTTTTTTTTTTTTTTTAGTGCTACACTTAGCTACTTCATCTGCCCATAGAGACATTCTTTTTCCTCATCTCAGTGGTTCTTATCCAGGGAACAGTTTTGTTCCCTAGAACTCATTGGGAAATATTTAGAGATACTTTTGGTACTTACAACTGGGGAGGGGAGCTTCAACTGGGATCGAGGAAGTAAACATGATTCCCCCACAGCCCTGTACCTATGCCAGGGTGGAGAATCCCTGTAACAACATGATGTGAACAATAACTTGTGTCTCTAAGGGAGCAATGGGGCATTGAAAGAATACCATCTGCTGCCTCATTTGATCTCACATGTTTACAGCACAGCACACACTTGTAAGCTGGTTGGCTAGATTGACTTCAGAGCATGAAGACAGTAACCCACTTGTAAAACTTAACATGCAAATTCTATAAATGTAAGATCAATTGCAACAGTTTGCAGTCTGTGCATCAACCTTAGTCAAAAGAAGCAATAAGATATCAGACTTCAAGACATTTCAAAGTTTTCATAGCTATAGTCCACTTTCAGCATGACATCTTTGAGCATGCTAAAACAGGTCTAAAAGGACTTTCCATGTCTACTGTTTTTACAGTCATGTTCACAGGTTTTGTTTTGTTCTTGAGACAGGGTCTCTCTGTGTACCATTGGCTGTCCTGGAACTCATTCTGTAGACCAGGCTGGCCTCAAACTCACAGAGATCTGCTTGCCTCTTTCTCCCAAGTGCTGGGATCAAAGGCATGCACTACTACAGCCCGGCATGTTCACAGTCATTAAAGTGTATAATCCCACATTAAAGTTTGTACAGATAACTAGCAACCAACCTTTTCACTCTCCTAAAGGATTGATGTACTCACAGGCTCGGTTCCGGGTTCTGTAAGTGCAGGTGTAGAGACTACAGGACCTCACTGGCATAGACCTCGGAACCTGGAAACTTCTCCACAGCAATGTCCATGGAGATGCTTGCAGAATTCCTCTCATCATCACCATCATCTTTACCTTGGAGTTTCCAGCAGTGGCCAAAAACCTCAAGGGAGCCTAAATCCTGGAGGGGGAGAGAGGAAGGAAAGTTATATACCACAGGGAATTAAAAGCCCAGGGAACCTCAGAGAGGACATTGGGAAGGCCAGTTCACACCCTGATGTGGGGGTGGGGCGAATGAGAGTCAACAGTTTGTATTCACTCTTGTTTTTCTAACTGAGTGCTCTGGTGGCATGCAGGGTTCAGAGGACTGACTCATGAGTTTGGCCATTCTCTCAGAGTTGGCAAACACTAGAGGCCCAGAGAAAAGATTCTTCTTCGTACACATAAAGACTGTTTGTGGTACCTACAGTTTCTTAAAATTAAAAGAAAATTTATTCCCTTGATTCCTAATTATTTACCCAGTATGGTATTTACATGTAAGAAGAATTCAATGACTAATGGCCCTTGCAGGCAGCCTAAATTAAAGCAAAGCAAAACAAAACAACAACAACAACAAAACCTGTTTCTGGCTTGCTTTTAAAAAACAACAACAGCAGATACATCCTGACAAAACAGTTCTGGGTAGTTTTGAAATCTAAGTTTAAGTATAAGCTGTAACTCTTGCCAGATTTTAGTGTAACACTGGCTCTGGAACACAGAAAAAATATGGACAATGGTAAGTCTTAAATCTTGTCTCTACCACACACAAACTCACAGTGAGAGTCTCAGAGCAATGCTTCCCAAGGTATTCACCACAGAGTCCTCAGACTGTGGTGACATCAACTCTGAACATTTCCCTTCCAGCAGCCACTCACCCCTACACCACTATTGCTTCATTAACTTCTGCAGAATCCTGTCCCTGTAACAAGTGAACAGACAGGTTCTAATTTTTTTTGAAATGTTAAAAGGCACTAAAACAAACCACAAAAAACAAAACAAACAAACAAAAAAAAAAACCAAAAATTAAAAAAAAAAAAAAACACTTGTTTAAAGCCCACATTCAGCTGGGGCAGTGCTGGGACACACCTTTAATTCCCAGCAGAGGCATGCAGATCTTTGTGAGTTCGAAGCCAGTCTGGTCTACAAAGCTGTTCCACTAAACGCTTTTGTGACTGACTATAGAGCCACTTCCTTAAAGGCTACCTTGACCCACACACTGACCAGTTTAGCCTAACACCTTTTCTTGGTGCTTGTCACAGTTGAATTGAGTGGGATCAGAAATGCAGTTCACAGCTCCTTTGTACCCAGAACCTAAGCAGTTGTTACTGTCTTGGTCAGGGCTGCATCTCTTAGGTGCAAAGCTTAAAACAGACAAACAAACAAACAAACAAAAAACCCCATGTGTTTGGGGACTGGAGAGATGGCTCAGCAGTTAACAGCACTGGTTGCTCTTCTAGAAAACCAGGGTTCAATTCCCAGAATTCAAATGGTAGTTCACGCCCATCTGTAACTGCAGTTCTAGGGGATCCAAAGCCCTCTTTTTGGACTCCACAGATACTATATGCACACAATGCACAGACATACATGCAGGCAAATACTCATACACATAAAGTTTGAAAAATAAAAAATAAAACATGGCTTTGAGGACCTGAGCAGGTTTCTTTGTGGTACTGAATTGTAGATCCTAATTTTTTTTAAAGCACTGAGAATTCTGCCATGACAGCCAGCATGTATTGGAATAGTACCAAGGTCTTTCCTAGGGTTTTGTTTTATTAATTTTATTTATTGCAGTATCAAGTACCTCAAGGTCTCAAGTATGCCAGGCAAGCGCTTGCCATACAAGCCTAGGGACCTGAGTTTGATCCCTGGAACTCATGCTGGGAAAAAAAGAACTGACTTCCAGGAAGTTGTAGAACTTGTCATTTCAATGACACAGGGGCACATGCACACCCATGCATAAAAATAATAGTAAGAATGTAAAATAATCTTGCTCAGAATGATTACCAAAAACCACCCTAACATCATCTACATGTCACAGCTGAAACAGAGTGGGGTAGTTGCTCATCTATTGTAAAGTAAAATTCACTGTCTTATATAAAGACAAATAGAGTACATGTAGAACTAACAATAGGAAACTACAGCAACAGAAGGCAGACTGATGGTTGCTAGGGTATGAGTGAAAAGGAAAACAGCAACTGGCCACTTACTAGGTAGGAGTTTGTTTTTGAGGTGACAGAATATTTTGGAACTGAACAGAGGTGGCAATTATACAAAACTGTGAAAATTCTAAATGCTACTGCAATTTCCACTTAGAGAAGCTACTTTTATTTCATGTGACTTTTTACCTTAACATTTGTATTTTATAAAACAAAGAACCAGGGAAAGATGCAACAAACCATTTCACAGGAAGGTTTTTACCACACTATACTTTCTACCTCGAATGGAAGAAATAGCTCTCAACAGTTTGTTCTTGACTGGTCTTGACTAATACTCCGAAGAAGAGTACTAGATGAAATTTAGAAAAGAAGTGAAACTACGCATGCAGAAAACTGGTGTCATGAGACCCACCCACACAGTGCCAAAGCAAGGAGGCAAGGGATGTGATCTCAGCTTCATCTCCCTCTTCAAGCACATCCCTGCTGTCTGGTGGCTAGGAGCTGGCTGCTTTCCTCTGTGCTGCTGTCCTTGATCTTGCTCCTTTTGAGCTAGAGGGAAGAAGGAAGGCTACATGCAAGTAAAAGGAGAAAGAAGTCACAGTAGTGACAGTATGTCCAGAGATAACAGGGGCAGTTACTTTCTATAGTTAGTCTCCAAGGGACAGTCAGGGGGTCCAGGTGGTTACACTGGCCTCTCACATTATCTTGATAGTGTCTTCAAACAAATAATACCTTGTTTTCAAATATCTTCTTTAACTGAATGAACTGAGCAGCCTTACAGAATAAGGGCTTGCTGACCACCTACATTCATTTTCTTAATCTTGTATTATGGAAAACTTCAAATTTATACATTGGGCCCTCTGTACTTGCATGCATGGATTCAACCAAATATGAACCAAAAATATATGTAAAAGAAGTGCATCTGTTTTGGACATATATCACTTATTTTCAATTTGAATGTCTTTGTAATTTAAACTTGCTTTTCACTGGGTGTAGTGGTACAAACCTATAGTGTCAGCACTTGAGAGGCTGAGGTAAGAAGATTTCTAATTTGAGGCTAGCCTGGACTACCTAGTGTTATGAGTAAGGTTTTTCCACTGCCGGTCAGGTTCCACTTCTGTGCCAGCCCCAAATAATACACAGAGACCCTGTATTAGATATAATGCTGTTGGCCAGTTACTTGTTTCTTATCAACTAGCACTGTCTTAATTATTAACCCACTTCTATTAATCTAAGTATTTCCATGTGGTCTTATCTTACCCGAGAGAGGGGCTGGCGTTCTCTCTCCATCCCTACTACTTCCTCTCTCCTCCTTGTCTCCTAGTCCTATCTTGCTTTCCTATTGGCCAACAGTGCTTTATTCATTAACCAATAAGAGAAAAATATTTACAGAATGACATCTCCCATCAACCTAGTGAGACTCTTTCCAAAAAAGGGGCATTAAAATAAATAATAACTCAAAATAAAGGAAAATATTTATCATACATAAAACACAAAACTGCATATTTACAGAGTACTATATGATATTACAATACATGTATGTGTTATGACTATGACATTTCATATAAAATACTTGAGCATCTACAGATTTGGTTTCTGAGTAGATCATAAAATTAATCTCCATGAATATTGAGGGATGACTTTTTAGTGAAAAATGATATCTTAAAACTAGCTGCATATTGGGTAGTTGTGGAACATACCTTTAATCCCTGAACTTGGAAGGCAGAAAAAAGCAGACAAGATCTCTGTGAGTTCGAAGCCAGCATGGTCTATAAAGCAAGTTCCAGGACCTTGTCTCAAAAAGCAAAACAAACTAAAATCCAGCTATGTGCCCTGCATTGTATTTCAACAATTATTTATCCATTAATAATCATGTTTTTATTAATACCCCTGCTTCCCCTCCTTGGGTCATTTTTAAGATTTGGTGTGTGTGTGTGTCTACATACATACATGTAGTACCCTCAGAGGCAAGAACAGGGAATGAGATGCCCTGGAGCTGGAGTTGCTTGTAGTTATGAGTCACCTGGTATGAATGCTAGGAACTGAACCTGCGTGTTCTGGATGAGCAGCAAGTGCTCTCAAATGCTGAACACATTCTCCATCCTCACTCTGAGTTATTTTAAAGTAAAGTTCAGAAATAGTTTTATTTGCCCATGATTGTATTTTCATAGGAAAATATCGTTCTAACTCATAGTTTCATCTCTATTAAAAATATTATGGCCGAGCACTGGTGGCACATGCCTTTAATCCCAGAACTCAGGAGGCAGAGGCAGGTGGATCTCTGTGAGTTCAAAACCAGCCTGGTGTACTCAGCGAGTTCTAGGATAGGCTCCAAATCTACACAGAGAAACTCTGTCTCGAAACACCACCGAAGTGTCTAATTAGAATCATTTCTTACTGGTGGTATTTATTAAAGGCCATGAAAACTACCAATTTTTCAAAATTTTAAGAAAATGGTATAGAGCCCAATAATCCTATAGAACTCAGTATCAACCTCAGTCTTAATCCTTGGTGTAAATATCTTAAACTTGGGTGAGAGTTCAGACGAAGAGCTTCATATTCTTACTTGAAGTCTATGTTTAGCATGCAACTATATAATGCATAGCTGCACTTCAACAGAATAAAAGGGTTATGTGAATTGAAGAACATGAGGTTAAGACTTAAATTGAACTCAAAGTTAAACCAGAATCCAGAATCCGAGGACAGGAAACACATCTGTTCAATAACACTGTGAGTTCAAATGGCACAAGCAATACGAGAGCACTGAAAACTTTAGCATTACATAAATGCTATAAAAATTGGCGTTATTCAAAGCCAAAATGCTATGCATTGTATCAACCCAAGAACTACAAATATAGTTTTTTTTAATGACATTTTGCTTTGTTTTTTTCACCCTCTGGCTATTTGCTTGCTTTGTGTGTGTTATTTTATTTTTTTTGCTGTTTTTTTTTTTTTGTTGTTGTTGTTTGCTTGCTTGAGAACAG